AGCGGCGGCGGGCGCCGCCGGCCCCCCCGGCAGCTGCTCCCCTGTTGTAGCTGCTGCGGCCTGTCGGAACCCCGGGCGGACAGGGGGGGACATGGTCCCCTCACTCGCCCCTTGCTGGCGGCCATGAAGAGGCAGAACGTGCGGACCCTGTCCCTCATCATCTGCACGTTCACCTACCTGCTGGTCGGGGCTGCCGTCTTTGATGCCCTGGAGTCCGACAACGAGATGCGGGAGGAGGAGAAACTCAAAGCCGAGGAGATCCGGCTCAAAGGAAAGTACAACATCACCAGCGAGGACTACCGGCAGCTGGAGTTGGTGATCATGCAGTCGGAGCCGCACCGTGCCGGAGTCCAGTGGAAATTTGCCGGCTCCTTCTACTTTGCCATCACGGTCATTACGACCATCGGTGAGTGACTCCCCTTTGGAGAGGCCCTGTGGGGCCAGGGCTGGGGCTGGGGCAAAAGCTTCTCGGGCTGGAAAGAAACGAGAGGGGCAGGGAGGCTGTGGCATGCTAAGGTGTCTGTGCTGGGTGAGTCTTTTTACTTCCTTCCCGTGTTACGTAATTTAATGCTCTCCTTGGGCACTTGTTGGACTTGACAGTGTCCCACTTCTATTCTCCTGGAGATGGATCCTCTGTCTCTTGTGTGGGACTGGAGAAGAGTGGGACTGGTCTAGCTAGGGGCATTGGCACTGGCCAGGTGGATACCATGGTGTTGTGGCTTGGATGGAGAAGAGGGGGGAAGAGAGAAGAGGCAGAGTGACACTCCTGGGGTTCCCCTCAGGAGGAAGGCCCTTTTGTCACACTCCTTCTTCCACCTTAAGAGACACAGGGAAAACTTACGCAAAAAGCAGCTGGAGAATGAAAATGATGAGGGCATGAGAACTGGATCAGCTGGGAAAGCCCTCAATGTATCCAGGCATGGACAGACCTGCTTTTGCAAACTTTGTTTTGGTGTTGGTAAGGGCAGTGGTGGTGGTTCCCATAGCTGTGGTCAAACCCTGGGGACTAACAATGTGTTCCTGGAGTTTTTATTGCAACTGGAGTGTTTGCTGTGACAACAGGTCACAGTCTGCATTTCCCCTTTGTGGGCACATGGTCTGACAGGCAAAATGATGCCCGCTGTCACATCCGTGCTGCCCAGCTTGCCAAATGTGCTGCTTCCCAGGACAGTCAAGGGACAGTCAGTGGACACAGGCACAGGCTGTCATTTTGTACTTCCCTGATTCCCACAGCATTTGTCACAAAGTTTGCTTCTCTGCCATAAAAATAAATACCACGGTGATTAGAGGCTGCGGAGTGCACACAGAACTGTGCTACAACTCTGACTTTGGCTGAATGAGCAGGTTTGCTCATGCTGATTTTGTTCTTTAAGGTGGGTTTACTAAGGCAGTTGATAACGTTTTTCTCCCAGAAGTTTAATATCTGTGGAGGTCTGAAAAGACCCCTCTAACTCAGTGGCTGTTTAATAGTGCGTTATACATAACAGGACATGAAGGTAGCTCTCTTATTAATACAGAAGGACTTGGTCTTTTTGCCACGTAGGGATTGTTACAAGACATTTTCACACTGCCACCTGAAGATACTGAGTTTTCAGCAGAACATGCTGTCCACTGCCCTTTGAAAAGTGTCTGATTATGTTCGCATTTGACTATGTTCTACCTGGGGCAGTAAAAAATTTCCTTTGAAAAACCATCTCACAGTATTAAGCCTATTTGCCCTTGCAAAGATAAGATATTTAAGGGTTAATTTCCTCCACCTTTCTGTTATTAGATAAATTAATGCAAATGCATATATTAACAGATTATAGAATATAAAGTAGAATGCAACTTTGGCTGATGATTTGTATTTCCCGCTGGTTTCCCGTTCCTTACAATGTCAGAACTCTCTTTCCTCCTTTGACCACTGAGTCGCTTCCTCAGCCTGTCTCTTGCCACTTAATTGTGCTAAATAAATACTGCTCTGTCCTGCTCCTCTGTGTGACAACAAGCCTTCCACACACACACCTGTGTACTCACGGTGCCCTGTACTCCTGCCGAGGAGCTGCCTGCAATACTTGCTGTGTTCTTAAGCTCTGTTGGTGACAGGTAGAAAGGGCTGTTTGTACAGTAGTTTGCTGTTTTGATGGTATTTTACCCATAAAGAAGTACAACTTGCATGGGAAGTTGTAGCATTTTCTCCTTCATAGGGATGGGATTTGTTTAGGAAGCTTGGAGTACCTCAGCATGCAGAGGATAGGATGCATTTCTGTAGGCTGAGGTGCTTTGGGATGCATGAATTGTTTAAATTTAAAAATGCGTATAATGACAGGGAACCACTGGGAGGAAGAGTGATAATTAAGAATGATGCAGAAAGTTACAGACATTCTGTAACAATTGTTCATTTGGGAAGCTGTGCTCCGGGAGGATATCTGATCCGTCTTTCAAAAGTTTATTAATAGTTGCTCTCTACATCTTGCCAAATGCACTTCTATTTTTTGTTCCATCTCTTCAGTACTGAAGTGGCTTCATGATGTTATCTGATCTACTGCTAGTCTGTAAAAGTAAGCATGGAAGATTTTTCTTTAATTTCTTATTTATCCTAAATTAATTTGTCTCACGGATTGAAAAAAAAAACCACCTTACTTTCTTTAAGTTCTTAGAAAAATAAGAATTCTTATCTCTGTTTCTTGTACAGGGAAGTGATTTAAAATGTTCATATTAATCATTCATGCTAGTTATTTTTTTTCAAATCTGTGTGTATGCTCTCATATATGTCTTGTTCCCTCTAAAACCTTCTGGACAGACTTCCAGAAGCACATACAGTGGGGTGTGCATTGGTGAACCTGCTGTACTCAGTGGTACTCCTGCAAAAGTGTGTCTTAAATATCATCACAGGCTGACCTTTAAAAGAGAATGAACAAACACCTTGCCCAATCTGGAAGGGTACCCCTATGTCCACAAAACTTCCCTCCAGACCAAACAGTGATAGGAATTGGCGGACCACAAAGTCGAGCAATATGCATATGGTTGCAGACTAATTTATGTCTAACTTAATTGTACTCTGTGATAGTGCCATGCTAGCAACATGTCTGGAGCGATTACCTCTTCGCTGTGCTGATTTCAACTACTGTGGCTTTAATTTAATCAAAAGCGTTTATGGCTGGCCATGGCCCATCAGTAGCCAGGAAGAGGCCAGTGCTTCTCTTCCAGTGCCAGGGGACAGGTACAAGAGTGTCGCCGGACCATGGAACAGGTGCCCCATTGCCCCTGAGATGTGGGGCTGAAGGGACACCTCTGGCAGCTCTGGTGCTGAAAGGACAACACCTCCAGCAATGCCACCAGTCTGCCGTGTTGAAGGGACACCGCTAGCAGTGCCCCCAGTCCGTGGTGCTGGAGGGACAGCTCCAGCAGTGTCCCCAGTCCGTGGTACTGAAAAGACATCTCCAGCAGTGTCTCCACTCCATTGTGCTGGAGGGACAGTGCCGGCAGTGTCCCCAGTCCGTGGTGCTGGAGGGACAGCTCTGGCAGAGCCCTCGGGCCGTGGTGCTGGAGGGACAGCTCCGGCAGTGTCCCCAGTCCGTGGTGCTGGAGGGACAGCTCCGGCAGTGTCCCCAGTCCGTGGTGCTGGAGGGACAGCTCCGGCAGTGTCCCCGGTCCATGGTGCTGAAAGGACAGCTCCGGCAGTGTCCCCAGTCCGTGGTGGTGGAGGGACAGCTCCGGCAGTGTCCCCAGTCCGTGGTGGTGGAGGGACAGCTCCGGCAGTGTCCCCATTCCGTGGTGCTGGAGGGACAGCTCCGGCAGTGTCCCCAGTCCGTGGTGGTGGAGGGACAGCTCCGGCAGTGCCTCCACTCCATCATGATGGAGGGACAGCTCCGGCAGAGTCCTCGGGCTGTGGTGCTGATGGTTCGGCTCCCGTGCATCTCCGCAGCTCCGGACTCCTCAGGCAAGCTCTGCAGCTTGTTGCTTCCCATCGAAACGAATCATTAAAGATCTGTTTGGAAGGTACCAAGAAAACCTGAAACTCTCAGGTTTCTCTTTGCCTGTGTGAGGCAAAGTGCTGAGATTTGGTGAAGTCCCTCATTTCCTCTAATCTATGGTATTTGGCTTTTATTGGCAGGTGGTTGGGGGCTGTTGCTCACTTGTCGTACTGAGTACTAAACAAAAAAGCGAAGGCTAATCAAGTATATGGAAACAGGTTTTGTGGTTTTTTAACCTGGGGCAAAACATATTTTTCTACTCCCCAGGTGCAATGTTCTTGTTCTTTCTTTCCTATTTTTATTTTTTTTTTTAAAGTGACACAGAAATGGAAAGGTTGACAACAGCAGGTGCTACAACACTCCATGAGTTTCCTCTTAAAATCAATTAACAGAAAATCCTCTCCCCCTCCCCTTCTTCCCCCTAGCTTCTACAAAGTTTTGGTTATGTTTGAATCGTGTAAAAGTTTTTAGGTGATCAAAAGGAGCTAATTAGCTTTTCTTGGCTCTCACCAGGTGCTGTGTTCATTTCAGGATTGTTCTTGTTTCAGAGTGAGCTACTATGAATTCCTATCCCTTTCCACTTACTCAGTCAAAATGATGAAAAACAGCGGTTTAATGCAGTTTTTTATCCAGCTATTTGTCTTTTATAAAATACACTCTAGAATATGCCACAGAGTTCATCTAAAGGCTTGATACTATGAATGAAAACACCACCTTCCAAAAATAAAGGGTTATTTCTAGGATTCCTAGCAAGTTTTAATGCCCTTTTCTACAGGTCTATAAGAGTCATTAAGCTGCTTCTGTTTAAGCAGGTGTCAACACTGTCAAAATGTGTTATTGGTATGGATATCACTTTATCATTTAGGCCTTAAAGGGTGATAGTCATACTTCATTTAACACCACCAAACTCTAGTAAACACTGAATATTTCTGGAGGCTTATGCAGAATGTAAAGAACTGAAAGCTGTTTGTGTCACCCTAAAATGAACTGAAACAACAAACAGATTGAAAATTGTTATTTATTTATTTTTTCCTGAGAAGTGACTGTAAGAGGAGCATAATTAAGGCAGTTTGTGCTGTGAATTATGAGTCTCTTTTTCTAGCTTTTAGGCCTTTGTTTTCAGTTTTGAACCTACTACAAGCAGTGAGTGAACTATTCAGATAAAACACTTTAATAAAGAATGTCGTGCAATACCTGTAATGGTGAATGGAATATCCACCTATTGACAGCTGGTTGGCTGCTGAGTAGCCAAACACTCAGGAGCTGTCTGCATCCAGATGAGGACATTTCATACTTCTGGCAGATGGTGTCCTGACAGGGAGTTTGAACCTGCATTAATGAACTAAACAAACACATGCTTAAATCCATTTTGGGATAGTGGTTGAGTCTCTGTGTTCTTTCTCTGCATCATTTTACCCTTCTGTAAAATGGGTGTAAAAACATCAACTTG